AAGCTGGAGCTAACCTCTGCAGGACACCGGCCCTCCAGGACTGAGTTTGGGCACCCCTGGTGTAAAGCCATTTGTACTGCATAGGGCTTATTCATGTAAGTGGAACATTCTTGTAACATTCCATTGGATTTTGGGATGAGACCCCTACAGTGTACTTTCTACCAGTTGGTGTGCATGGATGTCCTACGTTTATGCAATAGTTTCCTTGTCCAGATGTTTGTCTGTGGTTTAAACTGTGTGTATGTTGCTGCATTTCACAGATGACTGAGAAAGTAAACATAATTTCCTCTCACATTAGCTAAACTACCACAGTAAAGTGAGATGCCACACACAAAGTCTAAATAGAGTAATATTCAAATGTGTAAAAGTGTTTCCATGGCCAACCACAATCCAATCAATTCCTGATGATGGATAAAATCGATTCCTTCCCTACATCCAGGCCTCAACATGTCATGAACACTCACTTGTAGAAGTTCTTGTTGACCTTCTTCTCGTGGGGGAATCCCATCATGCCGCAAACCACATGTGAATTTTTGGGTGTCCAGCCATTATCACAGATCTGAGCCCATCCGTCTTTATTCTTGACTTCCACTACCCCCTCAGTGACAGGCATCCGCTTAGTCGCTATGGTGAACACAGGACGCAAACGCACCTCCTCTACTTTATTCTCATCTACCTGCACCTGAGAGACACATGATGCAAAAAATAAAAAGCATATGGACAACCAAACATGAACAGAGTGTGAACAAGCTTGTGAGATGGGAGTGTATTTAACCCCTTTAGACAGTGCAGGACAAAAAAAAAGATGCAGAGTTCAGTCATCGAGTGTTTCCTGCATGTTAGTCTTTATCGTTAACTAAAACTATTAAAAAATGTTTGTTATTTAAAATTAAGCTGAAATAAAACATACAAATACAAATACTAGATAAAAACTTAAAGGGGTCATATGATGTTGCTAAAAAAAACATTATTTTGTGTATTTGGTGTAATGAAATGTGTTTATGTGGTTTAAGATTCAAAAAACAGAAAAAAAACACATTATTTTCCACATACTGTACATTATTGTTTCTCCTCTATGCCCCGCCTTTCTGAAACGCGTCGATTTTTACAAAGCTCATCGGTCTGAAAAGCGAGGTGTGCTCTGATTGGCCAGCTATCCAGAGTGTTGTGATTGGCCGAATACCTCAAGCATGTGACGGCATGTGATGTTACGCCCCTTACCATATTGTGATGCCGTGTCCCAGACAGAGCGACGTGACAAAAACATTAAAACCCATTATAAACGAGGCATTTGTTGCATCCAGTGGGGACATAATTACGGATTATAATGACTTATACTGTCTTTTTACGCGTTGCATTGCAT